TAGGTTGGACGCCATCGCTCTTAGGTTGGACGCCGTCGCCCTTAGGTCCACATTTTGACTTGTCCATGTTTTGTCCGACGGGTCGTGTTTCCATCTTTGCTTTGTCATGGCCTTGTCCAGTAGCTGGTCCGTTGGTGTGGGCTGTGTTGCTTTGAGAGTTGAGTTGGTGTGATGAGTGGGTGTGGGTTTAGTTGGTGTGACCCGCCAAAAATTCGCGAAAACTTGAATGCACGTGTTAATGTATGTATTATTCAAGACCGGACCATTGACCATTGAAAACAGCATGTTTTTGCACTTTTGGAAAATGCATATAGTTGTCAGCTAATGAGGGGCACTGATTTCTGATAGGTTAAAAAGTAATAGCTTTGGTATGGGCAGGCCCACAGAAAACAGCTGTAGGTAGATCATGGGGGGTTCAACTGTCTACCTTGTTCAATTATCCTGTACCAGGAAACGCATTTAACCAGTGTCTAAAAAGCAGTGCACAATTGGGTTACGTCAGACATCCTCAGACCACTCTGCCTTTCAAGCACGTCTTGGGGCATGGCACTGCTATTTTTGGTTGCTGCTCATTTCTGTGAGCGTTTCTGCTCTTGGCTTATGCGGTTTGCCGGTTCTTTTCGCTTTGTCGTTATTTTTTCGTCAGGATTTGCCTAACTTGCAATTGCTGTTGTCATTCGTCACCAATATCGTTATGGCGTGTTCTTGTCGTTTTGGTTTGGGGGAGAGCAGTCATGAGCTCGGCAAATTGGGTGAACCAATGAAAGAGGGAGAGGAGGGCTTGGAGGCCATCGCAAGAAGGTTGGTTCCTTTAGATCTTGGGATGAGACAACCTGGAAGACAACCAGCCCCCCCACCACAGCGGAAGCGAGACAGGGGAGACAATGATGAGCAAGATAGCCTGGCAAAGAAACCCACCTATTCGCAGAAACAACGAAAACAAGTACCTCTACAGCTCTCAGTCAGAACAAGAAGATCAAGAAGTTAGGCTTCGGGTTTCGACAAGGAAAGGAGACATGGAATGGCACTGTCAGCACCTTGCACAGGAGAGTGAACCGTGGACTCTGGATTTTCACAATCCCTTCAAGGGCGCAAATATTCCTATGAAGGCACGGAGCGTTTGAAAGGCGCAAATAGAAGATGTTCTTTACATGTTACATCATGTTACACATGTGTCACCATTTTTGCTACTAGGAGCAAGGACACTACTAGGGGCTCCTGGCATCGCTACTAGGAGCAAGGACGCTAACATGCATTCTTTGTTAAAATCTAATTTACTGTTCCTAGTAGCTTCTTGTTACTACTAGCGTGGCACTTGTTCCTAGTAGCGACGCTGTTGGCAGGTCCTCCCATCTGGGCATCCCTCTTGCGGGCGCGACGGGACGGAGTGAGTCAAAAGGGAAGAACTTTCGTCGACTAACTTGCTTTGTCTTTCGAGCGACCGAAATGGAGGCGGCCTGAGTTCGGCGGCTCCTGGATCTCCATATGAGCGCCATGTTTTAGTGAGAGAAGAGATGAACGAAGTCACGAAGTCACGAAGCTATTAGAAACAAGTGCCACGCTAGTAGTAACAGGTGCCTTACTAGTAGTAACAAGAAGCTACTAGGAACAAGTGCATCGCTACTAGTAACAAGTGCCTTACTAGTAGTAAGAAAGGAATTGCGGGGAGTCGCGCTGATGGCGACTTCTCGCTTGTTAGTTTGAAGCGACTGGGAACTGTGTCAGCAGTTTGGTCTGCACGTCGTGCGAATTCACTTTGCACGGATCTTGGTTAAGCCTGATGAGGGCTTGCGAGGAGCCATTCATTCCGGCAGTTTTGGTGCGTTCTGGCGTTTCCACATGTGAACGCTGCAATCTGCGGCGCCAGAAACGGCATGGCCATGCCGAAGGCGCCGCGCGCAAAGTGGCTTCGTTTTTGGTCAAATTTGCATAGTTTGGCCATTTGAAACGGGAGCTTTGTGTTTATCTTTGCAAGGACAAGTAGCTACTAGGGGCTCCTGGCATCGCTACTAGGAACAAGAAGCTATATAGGGCCTTACTACTAGGAGCGATCGGACGCTACTTGTGTTTATCTTTGCATTGCTTAGCTGGCGATTCCGCAGCTGCGATGTTGGAAGTTCAGCATCCGTGGTCTCTCCACCCGTTGCCGTCGCTCGAAAGAGCAGAGGAGATTGGTGCGGTCTGAACACGCACGAAGCTGCTCAAAAAGGCCCCAAAATGCATCGGACAAGAACCGTTCTTTCTTAGCAAACTACATTAGACCGTTCTTTCCTTTTCATCCTAGTAGCTTCTTTCATTTTGAAGCATCAAACTGATGCTGATATTGAGGCCTTTGATTTAAGATCGCTACGCCTTTGAGATTGTTCAACGCAGCTGCTCCTAACTCCGAGAATGAAAGATAATTGAAAGAGAGCTTCAAAAGGGGAATCATAATTCATATCCAACTTGGTTCAAACGTTATTCATGACAAGATGCGTTTGTTCAATTTCTACAATTCTGTTTCTCCGTTTCAGCGTAGTTAGTCAGACCCTGATGTGGAGTGCCACTTCGAAAGTATCCTGCAGAGAAAGCCAAGCGATTTGTTTCGTTCTTGCAGTGTTTTCTGGAAGTCGCTTCACTTTTGAAAGATGCTAAGCTGACTACCAGTAACAAGGGACGCTAGTAGGGGCTCCTGGCATCGCTACTAGGAGCGTTCGGACGCTACTAACTAGGGGCTCCTGGCCGTACTACTAGGAGCAAAGAAGCTACTAGTAACAAGTCGCTTCACTTCTTGTATTGCTGTGCTACTTCACTTCTTGTTTGGCTCATAGCTTCGCAGCTCGGGCGCTTTGCAGCTCCCTTTCTTCCTTGGTTGTCTTTGTTGCTTTATCGTTCTTGCTTTAGTTTCCTCTTCCCCACGCTTTTCCGATGGCTTTGGTGCAACCCTCAGCAATACCGTGTTTGGTATCGCGCTATTGGCTTTTTTCTGCATCCAGTAGCGGCCTAGTGAATCTAGTAGCTACCATTCTTACCTCTCACGGCCTACCCCTTCTTTATCTTTTAGCCCGGGGGTAGGCCGCTAGAAGAGGGGTAGCCGGGTAGCTAAAGTAACCTTCTAGTAACTGGATGCAGGAGAGCTCACGCACTATTCATTTGGTGATTTTGGAAACTTCAGATTTGAAAGTTGAAAACTTGAGATTTGAGCAACAAGAAGCTACTAGTAGCTAGAAGCTACTAGGTGGAGGAGGCCATTCCTATTAGGTTCCTTATGCTACGAACGGAGCTCCTGGCATCGCTCGAGTTGGGATTCTGAGGCAGCGTTCATCAACTCCCCCACCGGGCCTCTCACGACCCATTTCTGGGGGCCTGTGGCCAATTGGGGATTGGCAGCCTCTGGCATGTGCGCTGGTAGTAACAAGTGCCTTACTAGTAGTAACAGGTGCCACGCTACTAGGAACAAGTGCCTTACTACTAGTAACATGTTGCAAATCACAGCAATGGCTTGAAAGCAAGAAACGTCTGCTTCCTTTCGATGTATTTCAACCACAAAGATACCTCCTTCCATCTCACATCACAACCTTCTGGGTCAAACAAGCATTATGTGTGTTTCACATGTCCAAACTGCCTGGTGTTGCTTCGACAAATCGTGAGGTATGATGCTGCTCTCAAAGGGCCCGAGATCATCAATGAGCGTATGTCAGCAACGCAGGTGCCGCAAACAATGCAGAATCAGAAATATTCCTTATATGCTACTAGAAACAAGTGCATCGCTACTAGTAACAAGTGCCTTACTAGTAGTAACAAGGACGCTAGTAGTAACAACCTTTCGCTTCTTTTGGACCTCTCGGCCCTTTCTTTTCTCTTGTCCTTTAGGCAGCAAAAGACAAAGACTAGCGGTTGTCCTGTCTTTACATCGTCAGCACCGCAGCATATAGTTTAGTCTCCCTAAAAATCTAAGGAACCAAATGAACGGGAGAGCTTCCTTGAAGAAGCGTGAGCTCTCAGTAGCGTTCTTGTAGCTACTAACTACCTCGAGCTACTAGCTAGCTCTAGCTACTAGCTGTGAAAAACAGATTCTAGTCTTAATGTGAACTTTGTTGATTAGGGCATAGGAGCTAGTTTTTGGTAGCGCCCTGGCTTTTGCCAGGATTGTTCTCTTCTGCTTGTTCAGGTAGAACGGCGAACGAGTTCCGCACCTGTTTCA